CAGAAAGAAACAAAATGATCTGGTAGCTATTATAATCTTAGCTGGAGGATGACATAGAATGGGACCTGAATATTGAAGGGTACGAGACATTTTGGAATGATAAGGTGAGAGGGATGGCTGTTAACTAATTGATGTATTAGTACAATTGAGATTGATAACTTTAATTCCGGAAAACGAGATGCCGAAACAGTTGGATTTAAATGAAATGTTATTTTAAAAAGTCACTTTTGGTAGTGGCATACAGGTCCCCTAATTAACCACATTCACTAAGTACAACCAACAAAGAAAGACCAAAGAAATGAATAGAGAGGGAAACAGAGTACAAGAGAAGGTTAGTGAGAAACATAAAAATCAGTCTTCAACAATTAGAGATACAAGTACACTTCATCCTCATTATCCACTGATGCACATACAGGGTTGGCCACAGACTATTTTTTTTCTCATTAACTCATCTGGTTTAATAGCACCATCCTTTATGGTGCAGAGGCGAGTTAAATAGGAGTGCTGTCGACTTTATTGTGTTATCCCTAAATCCTGTGGATAATGAGGATAAAGTAACATCCCAGAAGTAGCAATAAGTCAGGAAATGGAAGGGAGTGAGGAACTCAGAAAATCATAGTAAGAAGTGGTACCGAGTAAATTGTTGCAGCTGTGGGCTGACATGTGCCTGAGTCCTGATGGACTTCATCCTAGGGTTTTAATCAAGATGGTTGATGTATTTGGATTTAATTTTCCAAAACAGTCTTGATTCAGAGATACTGTCATGAGATTTGAAGATACTGTGTGTAACCCTTTTTTTTTGTTTACAGAAAGCAGTAAATTACAGACTAGTTAGCTTAACATCTGTTATGTGGAAAACGTTTGAAGCTATTAATAAAGACGTTATAGCAGGACACTTGGATAAGTTGGACAAGGCAGTGTCACATGGTTTGTGAAAGAAAATCATGTTTGGCCAACCTATTGTTCTTTGAGAAGGTAATGCAACTGTATATGAAAGGGAACCAATGGATGTGTTATACTTTGATTTCTAGAAGGCATTTGATAAGGTGCGATATACAAGGATATAGCAGAAAGTAAAAGCTTATGGTAGGGGATAACAAACTGACATGGATTGAAGATTACACAGCTAACAGGAAGCAGAGAGTAGGGATGAATGGATCTTTTTCAGGTTGGCAATATGTAATGAGTGGTGTGCGACAGGGATTGGTGCTGGGACCCCAAGTATTTTCAATTTACATATATGACTTAGATGAAGGGGCAGAAGGTACAGTTGTCAATGTTGCTGATAGGAAAGTAACTTGTGAAAAAGACATGAGGTTACAGAAAAATTGTGGATAAACTCAGTGAGTGGGCAAAGATATTGCAAATGGAGTACTGTCTAGGAAAATGTGAAATTGTCCATTTTGGCAGGAAGAATGAAAAGGTAGATTACATGGTGAGAGGTTGCAGAGCTTTCAGATGCAAAAAAATTAAGAACATTTATAGAATGAAACATTTCATTTGTGTGATGAATTGAATACAGAAGTAGGGAGGTTATGTATCAGCTATACCAGTCCATGGTGAGACCACATCTGTGTTAGAGGCAGTTCAGAGAAGGATTACTAGACCAATGCCTGGAATGGGCATGTTGTCATTTGAGGAAAGGTTGGGCAGGCTAGGCTTGTATTCACTGGAGTTTGGAAAAGTGGCTACTGAATTGAAACATATAAATCCTGAGGGGTTTTGAACAGCATTCACTCGAACATTCTTAATGGCTGTGCAGGGCCTCAAGATCTGAGTGTGGCAACAACTTCCAAAACCGGAAGTCAATGTTGTGGTTGACATGAGTGGAATATCGGAGCACATGGAACATAGAAGGAATATTGGTCTTGACAGGGTAGATGGAGAATGGATGTTTTCTTTTATGGAAAAATCTAGGACTGGGATCACTGTTTAAAAATTAGGCTCACCCATTTAAAACAAAATAGGTGAATTTGTTTCTCTCAGATGGATACGAGTCTTTAGTATGCTCTTTCTGAAAAGGTGGTGGATACAAATTTCTTAAATGTCTTGAAAACAGGGATGGATAGATTCTTGTTATGTCGGTGTTAAAAGGTTATTAGGAGTAGATGGGAATGTGGATTTGAGGTTACAATCATATCCGTTATGATCTTATTTAATGGCAGAACTGATTCACATGTTCATATGCTATAAGTGATTGGGATTGATTTGATACACATACTTTTGTTATGCAACCAACCTCCTCACCATATTTATCTGGAGTGGTGTCAGTCATGAGTTTGGTCTTTGTGACTTGTAGATGTTCTGGGTCATAATTCGATAGCCCTTATATTCATTCAATGAAAATGAGGTAAGGAAGTAATTTGTGAAGAAAGCAGTAGTAATAACAGAGCATTCACAGTTGGTATACGTTAATCCACATGCTAGGGTTGTAAAATAGAGAGCTGTAAAGGCGCTGTGGTTATGATTTTCCAAAATTCCTAGATTTTATAATGGTCCAAATAGATTGGAAGTTAGCAAATGTAATATTGCTATTTAAGCAAGGGAACAGAGGAAAAAAAACTAAAGGGGAATCAGCTGACGTAAGGCTCTGGGAAGATACTAAAATCTATTATTAACTCGGAAAATCATACATTGTCAGATAGATATGGCTTTACAAAAGAGAAATTGTGCTTGAATAATTTATCATAGTTGTTTTGAAGATATAACGAGTTGGCTGATAAAGACGAGCCAGTAAATACTGTATACTTAAATTTCCAAAAAGCATCAGTGCAACACAAAAGGTTAATACTTGAGATACAGGCTGAGTTAGGAATAGGATACTAGTACATATGAAGGATTGATCAATGGACGGTAAGCAGAGTGTAAAAATAACTATGCCATTTTCAAGTTTGCAGATTAACTACTGGAGTGCTGCAAGAATCCATGCTGGGACCTCAACTATTTACAGTCTACATGAATGATTTTGATGAGAAGAGAGCAAGTAACATATCTAACTTTGGTGCTGATTTAAAGGTCAGTGGGAATATAAGTAAGTTATGACTGTACAAGTTTGGGGTAGCACGGTGGTTATCAGTGCTGCGTCATAGTGCCAGGGACCCAGGTTCAATTCCACCCTCGGGTGACTATCTGTTTGGAGATTGCACATTCTCCCCATGTCTACGTGGGTTTCCTCTGGGTGCTCTGGTTTCCTCCCGCACTGCAAACATGTGCAGGTTAAGTGGGCTGACCATGCTAAGTTGCCCATAGTTTCCAGGGATGTATAGATTTGGTGGATTAGCCATGGGAAATGTAGGGTTACGGAATGGGGCTGGGTGGGATGTTTTTTGCAGAGTTGGTGTGGACACAATGAGCCAAATGGCCTGCTTCCACACTGTATGGATTCTATGACTAATGAAAGATTGCAAAGAAAAGTATGAGCCAGCTGGCATCAAGATGACAGCAGAGTACAAAGTTGGTAGGTGTGAGGTTATTCACTTTGGTTGCAAGAATAGAAAACCAATTTTTGATTTAAAAGACAAAATGTTGAGGTTCAGAATGACTTGGATGTGTTTATACAAGAAAAACAGTTACTTTGCAGGTATAGCAAGCATTTTGTTTTATATTCTTACTTGGGATGTGGATGATATTGGCAAGGTTAGTATCTGTAGTCCATCCCTAATTGCTGTTGAACTAATTGGCTTTCTAGGCCATTTCAAAGGCCAGTTAAGAGTCAATCACATTTCCCTGGATCTGGAAGCAGTCCAGGTAATGGCAGATTTCCTTGCCTAAAGGGCATAAGTGAACCTGACTGATTTTTATGACATGGTCACCATTAGGCCAGGCTTTTTAATTCTAGATTTTTTTTATTGAATTCAAATTTCACCTTCTACTGTTGTGGGATTTGAACCTGTCCCCAGAGCATTAGACTCAGCTTTGGGTTACCAGTCCAGTGATATTATCCATGTAATGGCATTTTGATCTTTATTATAGTGGGATCTGGGTACAAGAATGTATAAGTTTTTGTATAAGGCTCCGGTGAGACCACGGTTTGGTCTTCATGTCCAAGAAAAATTTGGTTGCATTAGATGTAGAAGAGTGAAGGGTGAATAGTTTGGTTCCTGAGATGGATGTATTTTCCTTTGAGAGACTAAGTTACATCCCCACGCTTTAGAAAAATGAGACGTGATCTTGCTGAAATATACACGATGCTGAAGGGACTTGATAGGCTATAAACGAGATTGTTTCCATCACCTGGGGAATCTTAAACTGGGGACACATTATCAGATTATGGTTTGATCATTTTGGGCTAAGATGAGGAGACATTTCTTGACTGAGCGTTGTGAAACTGTAGAATTATCTACTTTGGAGGATAGTATGTTCACAGTGAATGTAGACAGGTATTTAGTGATAGGGAGATCAAGAGAAATGGGGATGGGGTAGAAAATTGGAGTCCAGACAGATCAGCCATGATCAGCTTAAATGGTAGAGTGGAGGAGGTATTTGGTTTAGAATCCCTACAGTGTGGAAAGAGGCCTTTTGGCCCATCGAGTCTGTACCAACCCTCCAAAGAGTACTCTAGTTGCCTACCCTATCCCCGTAAACCCGCATTTACCAGGGCTCATCAGCCTAGCCTACACATCCCAGGACACTACAGACAATTGAGCATGGCTAATCCACTTAACCGATACATCTTTGGACTGTGGGAGGAAGCCAGAGCACCCAGCAGAAATCCATGCAGACACGAGAATGTGCAAACTCTAGACATCACTCGAGGCTGGAATCGAACCCGGGTCCTTGGCACTGAGTCACCATGCTATCCAGGTTTATACTTAGATCCCACTTCATATATTATTTCTCTCAAAAATTTCTTCTCATTAATATAAATACCTTCATGTTTAGCTATGTGGGAGTAGCTTATTAAAATGTGATCCCAAGAAGGTTCCTCCATTTTATCTGCCATGACATTAGAAAAGTATTTGTATAACTGTGTGGGAAAACAACGAAAAAAAAACTTTTAAGAAAATGTAAACTTTTACTTTTATTGTACAAAGAGCAACCAACACCTTCAGTTACACTTCATACTGCTGTATTTAAAGCAATGTGTGAAGGTATTATACAAAATGCAACTCAAAAACAACCGAATTTTCCAGCTCTGCTTTATTTTACACAATCTAACTTAAAAACAGGAAACAATGTTTAAACTGCTCATATCACAGCACAGTGCACCTTGGCACTGCAACTTGTAGGGGCATGTAGTTTCGATAATCTCACATGAAATATCAAGGAACTTTACTTTTATGTATAGTCTTTTTTGAAGTACAAACATTGTAGCTAGTTTAAACACTGTTAGCATTTTTATATCAAGCACTTGTACCAATGTTAGCAATAGTTAAATTAAATGGCTATTTAACAGTCACATTAACAGTTTATTCACATTTTTACAGCATCTAAATTTAAATTGCATTGAATTATATGCACATTAATGTATGTACATATATACAAATGCACTGCTGAAAAACGACACAATGCAAACAAAAAAGACACTTTACATTAGATACTGATATGTAACAAAACTTTTCACTTTACAGCATACAAATTGAACCAAAATAAACTTGGGCATATAAAACTTAATTAGACAAAGCATTATTAATTGTAAAGGCTTGGAATAATCAAGCCAAAAGCTCAATCACCACCACCACCCACTTTTTCCACTAAGTTCCTTCATGTTCTACTTAATAAAGTGCTATCTCAGTGGTGTCTGCCATCACATTAATAAACATTTCTGTATATAGTTATATACAAATAAATGATGGAATACTGGACTCAGGTCAGAATTTCTAGAGGATACTGCTTTTCATTTGGTCAGAAACACTGGAGGATGATTTTAAGGAATCTGAGAAAATTTATTACAATAAAGATCTAGTTGAGCTGCTGACTATTATTGAAGGTTTCATACATAGCTAAACACTAATATTCAAAACTACTAAATAGAAATTTAACTTTGATACATGTGCTGATTTTTTGTTTTCAAGTAACTGAATAAGTAAAATATGATTTTATTAAATGGCATTCCAGAATTTTACAGGTGTTTTGGAAATCAAATGTAATTTTCTCCATTTATAATTAGACCTATTTACATGATGACTGAACCAAATTTCATTTTTAATTGCCTAAATTGCTAGATATTCCAGAACTTTTATTGGAGTATATTCTGCAAAAAAACCTTAATATCAGTGGCTTTCTTGGCGATGTGATTGTCTCAAGTATGTTAATATAAATAACTTACAAATAGACTAGGAATGACTCTTTTGAAAATTTGAGCTTAGTCAAACCTCCCATAAAATTCAGCTGGTCCAAAGCTCTGTTCTCCATGTTCTGACTCTCACTAAGTCCTATTCATCCATCAGCCCTGTACTCACTGTGCTGTATTAGCTCATATCCAGGTGCAGTCAAATTAAAATTCTCATCTTTATATTCAACTCTCACTGTGGATTTGTAGGCACTACCTTTGTAACCTCCTCAAATATCATAAATTTTCAACAACTCCATGTTTCGCTACTGTTTACCTTTCATGAAGCCTCAATTTCCTTCATCTCTCCACTGGCTACATTGAGTTGTCTAGGCCCTAAGCTCTGGAATTCCCTCCATAAACCTGTCTTTCTGGTCTCCATCAAAATGCTCCTTAAAATGGACCACTTCCCAAGATCCTTTGTTTCTTTGTGTCAAGTCTTGTCTGAGAATGATGGTGTGAAATAATTTGGCTCAGTTCATTATGTTAAAAACAACTATAGAATGCCAGTTATTGTTTGACTGATCTCAGCCAGAATTATTCTAGGGATTCTAAAATTCATCTATCTGCACTTCTCTTTTCTCTCAAATCTGTCAGATAATCTTACTTTAATTGTTATAGAAGCACCATCTGGAACCCTGTCTTTGAACAATGAACTAGGATTCATCCGGATCAGCTACAACAATCTTACAATTAATGTCTGCTATATAGGTTCATATGTTGCTATAACCATTGGGGTGAGGTATCAAGAGGACTTGGAAGTCTGGACAAGGTAGATTAGTATTTTAGGAACAGCTTGGATAAACCCATGTGCTGCTATATATTTCTTGTTTGTTAAAATACCTCACCCTGAAAAAAGGTATGAACTGAATTTTCAAACTAAATAGAATTGCTTTTGTATTTTAAACCGCTAAGTGCAAGAAGTGTGGAAGTTAAAATAAGGTAAATCACTGCCTGTTTGCATACATGCTTTATTACCAGTAGGTCCAACCCCATATTAGCAAGAAACTTAAATTGACAACCAGAGCACACAGTTCAGTGAAGTAATGCTTGCGTCATAAATTGCCTTCTCACAATGCATTAGCAATGAAATAATTAACCTGTTAAAATCATTTTGGTGATTGATTGAAAGATGTACTATGGTTCACGAGCTTGAAGAACTCCCTATTCAATTAATGCCATTTGATATTTGTTCTCAGGGAATGGAGAAATGTCTAACATCTTATCCACAGGTCTGCATCTTCAACAATCAAACATACCTGCAATACGGAGATACATAAATTATGCATTCGACTCCTGGCATTTGTTTAATCTACAACATTCCGACCAAGAGATGAGATTGTACACTGAGGCAAAGTGACACATATTTGCAATCACCTTGTAAAGTCAGTGTCTCTACTTAAAAAAATCCAATATTCCATCATTAAAACTTCATATCTAAAATGAATTTGATTCATCTATTGTGTAAATACATTATAACAACATATACAGTTACTTGACATGACTTGATTAAAAACATGCTGTACAGATTATCTTCTGACTTAATGTGTATTCTGGAACCCTGAAAAAAATCAACATTTTTGTACCATAGATGTATTTATTTGTTAGGCACCGCTGGTTATTAATTTAGAATTTAATCTAAAATTAAGGCTAAAACTTATGCTTATTTAAATTCTGTACCAATAGCCAGTAATGCAGATCAGAAAAAAATGAACTTACTGAACATAAAATAAACGACTCTTCTTTCTCACTGACCACGAGAACCCACCTTTTGTCATCAATTTAGAATCAATAAAGGAGAATTCAGCAGACAGTATAATTTCAAATTTACATAATCTCCACTTCGAAAGTGACATGAGAAAGATGATTGTTTTGGTAAACAGGACACAGCTATTTTGTGCTAAATGCTAACCAAATATACTGAAAACAAGTAATCATAAATAAAAAACCTTGTTAAATTCGATCAGTTTTCAACCTTGAAGGCACAAAAGGTGTGTAACTTTTATTTGTTTTGGTGACAAGCATATTTAATGGAGTCCGTTAAAGAACAATCTATAATTTACAATCAACAATGCACCATTCCCGTACAGCAATTAGTGGGGTCTGTGACAGACAGACACTGTAAAAATAACATTGACTAATTGAGCTCTCATTGAAACTTTCTTAGTACAGTCTCTTGTGTTTGTGTCACAATGGAGATTCATTTGCTTTTTCGTTTCTTCACTTTTGCAAATGTTGATAATTCACTTTGTACTTCCTTCCTTTGTAAGCAACGAGATAATTTCTGCTGGACCTCAATGCAAGGTCTCTGTACTCCCAGAACACAAGCAGCCACAAACTTCAGATATACACAAGTGAAGTGCCTTGCATTTATTTTACTCCAGAAGCTGACCTTAATCCAACAACAGATTAGTGCATTCATATTTTTGTGGAATTTGTGATGTCACTAGTTACCAGGGCAGATTATTTACATTATGGAATTAGCCTCAGAGGGAGAATTGTATATCTACAGTGTATTCCAACATAATGTTTAAAAAAAAGTGCTTCAAGTTTCCAAAATCTAACTGTAAAGGAGAGTGTTTGCAGGTTATACATTGAACTCAGTTTAGAATATGTATTTTGCATGAAATATTGACATAAAAACAATCTAATGTGCTACTTAAAATTCTACAGTTTTGATCTAACTATATCCAAAAAGACATGACTATATCTAATAGCTACAGTATATGTTAGAGGGGAAAGTTCCTGAAATAAATTTCAAGCAAAACTCAACCTGTAAAATCTACAAAAATGTTTGAAAATTAAGGGGTAAAATTTAATTGTGGTTCTCCAGCATATCTGCCCTAATTTTGACAGAGAAGCTGCACAAGTCCCAGAAAACAAGATAGTTACATTTTATACCATGTTCCCAGGATTTCTGCAACTTTCTTCAGTCAAAGTTATTGTTGTTAAGTGGAAGCTCGTCTATGCAAATCCAACTTTCAACAGTGTGAAAGATACAGGCTGTTGGATTGCAAGCAAAGTAAAATAGCATTAGTAGTAACAAAGGACGTTTAGTGCTGTAAGTAAAAAGCTGGAATTAGAATGCTGAGAGAGAGAATTAAGCGCCAACATGTTTATGAAGGTGGCTATTATTCAAGGTCAAGCAAATTCTGGTGTGTGAGAAATGCACAACACAAGAAAATTCTGATCCAAAGTCTAGCTTAACCCTTAAAGCATGTGAAATGCCCAGAGATTAATAAACAGATTGAGCTGATGTACATGGGCAAGAAGGGGATTTGTCTATATGAACGCTCAAAGGCTCATGCACTGATCTCACTTACTGGAAGTGATTGAAAAGTGGGACGTATCAAGAAATCATAAAACTCAATAAATAATCCTTCCGTAACAAATCAAAGAGTTTAGTTCGTTAAAATAACAAAATTGTTTAACTGTGTAAGTATGACACTAAGATTTCGATTTCATCACTATTAAATGTGTTGACTTTATATTGATTCAATAAATTAAGATTATTATTGGACAATTCTGCTGAGTTCATGCCTTTGCAGTGAAGTAAAAGGATGAGGATTGTCCTAACATAGGCCACAACATGAATGGTTTTGCAGTTGTCAGGTCATCCACTGACACTGACCACTTGCAAAATAAAGACCACTACTAAACATAGATATAGTAATTATAGCTAGACAGATTTTAGCTATTTTGGAAATGCAAAACCGTACCAAAACATTTTACATTTTTGTATCATTGATGCAGAAATGTTTCTCTGATCCTTAGAATTGGCATAGAGACATTTCTGAAGATTTTAAGGGACAACTGCTTAGTTTGACATACTTGAAGCAGATAAATTTGACTTTACAATGGTGAGCTGTTAACTGTTGAGTAATGAAATGTGAATGCTTACCAGATCTAGTGGGCTATTTTCAATATATTTGACAAATAATTTATTTATTCCTTGATAGGCCTTTTGTTGTTCATGTCAAAATATAGAACCTTTAAATGGGTCAGTATTTTCAATGCAGAAAGAACGTATACAAAAATGCATTCAAATAATATAATCTATACATCTAAATGCTATTTCAGTGTACTGTAGAATATTAAAAAATACATTGGGGCAGTAACTGAAGATGACATCTTTTTTGTTACCTCTGCAGTAATGTTTTTTTCTCACTAGTGGCTGATACTTATCAAGATCAGCACTTGACACACTAGTATTAGCCATGGTTCACTCAGATCACTGAAATCTTCATGGAGGTAAGAAGTGATGCTACTGCGGAATTTATACTGTAGGAGATATATTAAATTGTGCTGCACCAATATATTTTGAAGTGGTCTAATCCTAAGCCATAACTACATCAGAAGACTGTGAAAAAAAGCATTTTAAAGTATCCACAAAAGGAAAAAAAAGTGAGGCAAGTAAATCATTCCCTCTTATTACATATTTAATATTCTCAATATGAAGCAACATTAGTCCAATAAGTATTGAAATTGAATACCAGCTCTTAATTAAGTGCTGTAATGTTAATTCTGCTTATGTTGACCCCGAGCAAAATGACAAGCAAAGTCATATTTGTCTCTACATTTACATCCACATATGTTACATTGGAATGGGTTCTTGTAACCATGGCACCCCATGTGAATAGTATAAAGGATATTGTCTGCAAAATACATGTCACAGTGTTGGCAATGATGCAGAAGTTGGGGATCCTGGACTTGAAGTGCAGGAGCAGGGGTGCTAGGCTGGCTGTTCGTCACGCTGGGTGTACTTGTTTGAGCACTATGCTCACTACTGGGGCCAGCCACAGGACTGAAGTTCCGCTGATTTTGCGTGTGACATGCATCTGGACTGATAGGGGATGAGCTTTGGGCCACACTGGAAGCTACCGTGGAAACGACTGGAGCTGTAGACTGTGAGATCACATATGGTTTTTCATCCCTGCAGGTTACCACCTCAGGAGATGCTGGAGCTTGGTTTTCAGGTGGAAGGCTGGACAATTGGCCTGCTAAGGTAGAAAGCTGGTTTAATGGATTATCCACCATAATATCTTGCGTGTCCCTCGAAATCCCACCAGACTGTACTTTTTGCAAACCCTCATAGGAGTTAGCTGACATATCATGAGAAAAGTCACTGAGGTAATCTGGCTTCTGTACCATCATGGAAGAAGGACTTAGATTAATCAGAAGTCTTGTCCCATAACTCAGGGAGTTGTTAGTTTTTTTCTGCAAAATGCCCAACATTTTCTTATTGGTCAGGCAGGTCCTAGCACCTTTCAAGGGAAGAAGTTTGTGCCTACGTCTACGGTGATGGGACAGGTTACTTCGATCACTGCAGCAGAAAGAGCAAAGCTCACATTTGTATGGTTTTTCACCCGTGTGTGAGCGCATGTGTGCTTCGAGGTGCCGCTCATACGCTGAAGCAAACGGGCATAGGTGACATCTGTGGGGCTTCTCACCTGTATCAGAAAGAATAGATCAGCAAACCTTGCCATTTTCTCTCCCTTTTTGCATTTTTCTCATTTTTCCTCCGCCAAGTAGCTTGTCCTTTAGCTAGGAGTGCGATAGAGCGGTGGAACTCTAAGATCACTGTCAACAATCCCATCTGGTTGTCAACAAGGTTGCCATGTAAGAAGTCTGGATAGTTTTATTTTTCTTTCCTCATGGTGAGGTAGTTCAGATTTATGGATTATTTTCTGTAGTGGGTCAATTACAAACTGATGAAACTCTACCCACATAGCTGATGGATATGTGTCGATTGGATTTTTGCACCCTACTCACTATCACATTAAAGGCCTGGAATTTTAGCTAACATGAAATATGATGAGGTAACTTGAAATTATCTCAACTACTGAGCTACTTGGTTATCCGCCATCTGCTTTTGAATTAGATCTCATTAAAATGTTGAGGATGAAATATGTTTCCAATTGAAAAATCAACACAAAATAACTTGCCTCTTACAGGATGCATTTTGAAAATCAGAGGTGACAGCAGTTCCTGTATTTCCACATCATAACATAATGTATATTATGGCTGCCATTCTCTAATTACAAAAAAACTTTCAAACATTAACATAAGAAAAAACTGTAGCTGTTATATGCTGATTTTACAGCATTATATATCCTACTTAGAGGAGCAGTACTGTACTATGCTATAGTTGGCTTAACCAGATGGTACTGAATACTTTAATCCTTACCTGCTTTTTCGTTAGTCGTGGCCCTTTTCACTTTAAACAGGGGAGACTCACCATCGGTACTCCTTTTAAAAAAAATCAAACTGTTACAAAGAATTGTGATCAAATTTAACATCCTTCAGTTTATTTGTTGTGAGAAAATTGGCACTTAAAAGGGAGAACAATAGTTTCTGGGGAAATCCCTGCAAGAAGTCGATGTTCCTAAGCGACAGAACCTAACAGTGTGGAGAAACTGAATCAACACTGATACCATAAAAACAACAGAGAATCATTGATCTAAACTGAGTTAATGAATGTATCACAATGTCAATCTAAGTGCCTTACAATGCCAAACAGCAAATGATCATAAACTACTTCCAACAATGAAGTTAGCAACACAACTTTAACCAAAGGAATCCAATACCGACATGGCAGAAAAGAAAAATTAACTGTATTTTAAGGGGGCTGTGATGGTGAGACTCCATTTAAGTCAATTTATATTATGGAATAGTTTTACACATCACACTCAATGAATACCACAAACTTAACATCAACCTGGATGCTAAATGCTATCTAAATGCCCCAGTCTGGTCTCAATTAAAATTTAATAATTTTGTATAAATTATTCTCTTCATTAAAACAACATTTATCAAGAGGCAAGCTTGCCCTGTATCATAGAACCTACCATCTCTGTACCAACCTCATCATCAAGATGAGTCAAAAGGTTGATTATCTCATTTTTAACTGACATTCCAGAAATTTGGATTTGATACTACTGAGCATGTTTATTAAATTAGTATGTTTGCACCTTATTGTTCAGTACTGCTCCTTTAAGTAGTTAGAGTAGAAACAAACATATCTGATAATAACTTCTATTTTAGATCATGTAGAAGTCAATGTAGAGTCATTACCTGTGTGCATTCTGATATGCTCCATCAGGCGTGCGGTCCCTTTACTAGCATAGTTGCAGTATCGGCATTTTAGTTTTCCATCATATGTTCTTTCAAACCCATCCGCCATGAGCCCAGAGCCATCATCCAATGAAACTTCGACTGAAGCATGATGCATTCCATTTTGATCATTTTCCGATCCTGCAGTAATAAATCCCAGAAAGTGGGAAGAATTAAAAATACAATTCTCTGCAATTTGAAATAAAGGCAGCTCCTATTAGAAGAGAATATCATTTTAAAATGCAGGTGACACTAATGGAAATGTATTGTCATTCACAAATTATGTAAACTTTTCTACATTTATAGTAAATATTAAGAGCAAAACTGCTGCATGAAAGACACTTTTGAAAATTTGTTTTCTATTTCTATGAAAATTCATTGATTTCCTGTGGCAATTCTCATTGACAGTAAATAGGATAGTCAAATTTCACTTTTATTGAATGGTTTTCTGATTAAATATTACATTCTCAGACATCACAATATGCATTCAGCTAACTCAAACAGATAAAAGCTCTAATGAGTAAAATGCCATCACAGCACAGGAACCATAGATGAAAAAATATGAAGAGATTTTCTTTCTATAATTGATTTCCCATTAAGAAGGAGCTTGAATTTATATAGTAACTTCCTTGGCCTCTGAACATCCTAGAGTAATTAAGCCAATTAAGTACTCAAAGTATGGTAATTGTTATAATGTAGAGATAACTAAGTCAATTTGTACGCAGCAAGGTCCAAACAGAAATTAATTAATCTTAGTGACTTTTTTCTGAGGAATAAAATGATGGCCAGTTTACCTAGAGAACTGCTCTGCTCTTAAAATAGTGTTAGAATGTTTATGGCCACCTGAGAGAACAGATGGACCTTTAGTTTAATATCTCATCAGAAACATGGCACCAAAGACACAGCAGCACTTCCACTGGACTGGATTAACATGCTTGATTCTGGAGCCAGGTTTAAGTTCATGACGCGATTCAGAGGAACTAGTATAATCATTGAGATAAGGCTAACAATATAAAATTGGTTTACACAGCAGCTTTCAACAAAACATATCACCTATGTATCAAATCTCCCATGGTGGTGCATATAATAAACTAGAATCTATTCTCTAACAGTATCTGTTTTATTTTCATTGTTGGTTGTCTCCTTGTCTCTCCTTTTCTGCCTGTTTCTCTCTCCTTAACTCTTTTTCTTTCTCACTTTAATTTCCTTTGTTCCTTTCAGATGGTGGGTGGCATGGAGTGCTGTAGTAGGGTAATAAGTCATCAAAGGCCTTTAAATAAGAATTACAGGGAAAATTGAGGCTCTTGCAACTTTCCTTCCCAACCCTTCCCTTTCTCCCCTTGCCCCACAATCACCTGTGCTCGCGTTTTCACATCCAAATTGTTCCCTGTACCTTTACCTTTCCATACCCTCAGCAGCTTAACCACCACTTATTCTACGATCATTCACTTCATCCATAACACTTTGATCTATTGTTGCCCTCTTACGGCATCCCAGGATAGTCTGCATTGCCCTCAAATCCGTTTTATCTATATCTTTCTCAAAGAGGCATCTTTTTATATTTTGAAAAAGCAGATTCAAACAGAGAAACTCTTGTCTGTTTAACCTAAGAGAAGAATCATCTTTTTGAACTGTTAACAGCAGACAGTGAAATAATGATTTGGCTTCAGAATTCATCTGGAGTTGTTTTTGTTGAAAGCTCAACTATTAGCATGAGGAAGAATGAAAACAACAGCCACAACAGGTGTGCACTAAGTACATAATACGACTGTAGTTGAATAAAGCTTTTGAAGTTTGTCCTCTATAGGATTTCTTCAATTAATTAGAAAAACAACTGCAAGAAGCTAAAGAAAAATGCAATATAGAAGAATGAATTGCCCAGAGTTTGGGAAACAAGTGTATGGAGTGTCAAAAGGTGAAAGAGAGGACAAGCACCATATTAAGGTACGCAACTTTCCAGCTGGGGAAGAGTGCTGCAAAAGATCAATGACAACCCTTCCTATGCATTTACCCCTCCAATGCCTTTTAACTGTTGCAATTCTAACTGTCTCCACTACTTCCTTTGGCAGCTCATACCATGCATATACCACCCTCTGCCATTAAAACACAACCATTAACATTATTGTTAATGAATGAATTTATTGAAAAATAACAGACTAACAGCACAAATTTTCATTTACTTTTTGCCTGGTTTTACAAAAAGCTTTCAGATAACCTGATACATTTTTAATTGTACAATCTATAATCTACTGTACACTGTTGGCTGGTTTGCTGCATTTTTCTTCAGAAAGCATTTAGTTTATTGAAAAGAAAACATTTTCGGCCAATGTTAACTCTCCTAGCTTAGGCCCTTAAAGACAGACGTTTAATTCAGTTGAGTGGAGATTTTAATTTGACAGTCCTGATTCAGGATTTCCTTTTTCTACGACTCGAAGTAACCATAGCGGACAAGTCAGTCTGAGAATGACATGCCAGTACTCACCATGTGCAAAACATAATTTTTGCACGTAAACATGGCCTTACCAGTTTGTAGAGATTCTGGGTCCTTCTCCACACCAACCGAGCCAGATATCATATTCACATGTTGAGTCTGTTGAGTGAGGTACTCCTGGAAATCCTTGACGAAGTCTACGGAAGCAGCTCTCTTCTCATCCATGATCTCTCAATGGTTCAAGAAATTGCTTTATTTCCTTGAAAAAAGAAAATACAACTTTTGAGGAGTACATTGTGAAGAACAACACTGAAATTAAATAAAATGTGAATGTTATAGCAATAGCATTTTTTGACAAATGCCTGGTATCTATTTATATTTCAATTGAGGTGATCAAATGATTACATTTAATTAACAGAGCAGTACAACAAAGTTGCTCTGATGGAAAAGTGAGGAGTTTTAATTGCTCAGTAGTAAAACCCAACACTACATAACAGTATGTACTTAATTTAGAGAACTGCTTCCTAAAACAGTTCTGTGAAATGATACTGAAATGCTAACTCCCAAGTCTTTTGCAAAGCACATTTATATCAGCACAGAATCACATCTACAAAACCAAACCTGACAGCAGCCATTTAGAATTGCAACTGCACTATTTTTGTAAGCATCAGAGAAGGATCTACTGTTTCACCAGTTTTGATTTCTGAGACAGCATTATGACTAGATCCTTTATGCAAGAGACTTAATTTTAGAAAAACGTAGCAACAATACAATGGCAGTTTGATTAGCAAAATTAATTGTATCTCCTTCATATTAACAAATAATTATAAAGGTGGGATATGTTTATCATGCTAACAGTGGCCTGATGCTATCAATAGAGTTGTAAACAAGCATGGAAATATTGCATATGTGTAAAAATTGTAGGGAGTCAAGATCCCTCATGGGACCTAAAGTGTTGATCTACATGTATCTTTGATGTTGCCCAACAGGTATGGAATGTTTCAGAGATAGTAGGAACTGCAGATGCTGGAGAATCTGAGATAACAAGGTGTAGAGCTGGATGAACACAGCAGGCCAAGCAGCATCAGAGGAGCAGGAAGGCTGACGTTTCGGGCCTAGACCCT